AACAAAATCATAGATGTAGAAGTGGGATTACGTGAGTCATAGTCATGAGGTCATGAAGGCATGAAGTCATGGGAGCAGTGAAGCACAGTAGCAAATCACGAGGCAGATGTGGGTGAGGCTAGATTTTGGAGGTTCTTCACAGCCGGACTTAGAGCTGATGGATGAGACAGGAGGGAGCCATGATGTTGGATAAATGACATCTTTTAATTAAATTAATCTGGCAACATTGTGGAGGTGAGACAGGAGAGTCTGGAATAATTAAGCTTATTGAATTGATTCATGTCTGCAGTGCCGTGGGCTGAACTCTGCTGGTCCATAATCCTGATGGGAATTAAGAGAGCACCACTCAATTTAAAAGGGATAGCCACCGGAATGAGGAGAATTTGAATGTTTGAAATTATTTCACAAGGTGCTATTTATTGCTTCTCAGCCTGTCACTTCCCTATTAAATCATCTAGAATGGTGGTTGCTGTTGTTGCTGCTGTTGTTGTGGTGGTGGTCCTAAGCTGCTTAACACTTCTTTGTCCCTTATAAACCACAGTCTCCGTAACTCTTCCTCCTCTACACTTCATTTTTCATTTGAATCGGAAACTGACAATGCGCTCAGCAGGCACACTCTGTTAATTGAGATGTCCACTGGTGATGCTTGCTCGGTGGCATTGTAATTACTTGCCCGGTATCCTTTTAATTTTTTCCCCTCTTGTTCACATCTGAAACTGAAAATAGCTATTCAACCCTTTGATCTCAGCAATTAGTTAAGTGGTACGCAACTGGTTACCGGGGGCGGGCTTGCACACTCATTCATCTCTGTTCAGGTCCGGCAGGGAATTTCTGAAGCCACAACACCTAAAATTAGTGCATAGTTTCAAGAAAATTCTTCGGGAGCAATAGTTCTCAAAGCAGGGTCCCCAGCTGAGCAACATTGGCATCATTTGTGGAACTGTTAAAAAACCAAATTCTTAGGACCCTCTCACCTCAGACCTACTAAATCAGAAACTCTGAGAGGTTGGGGAAGCTAGCAAGTCTTTAAAGAATGCCTTCTCAGTGCGTACCAGAGTTTGAGAACCACTGCCTGGAGAAGCAGCTTCACAGATTTGGGTAAACAGGCTCTGGGAGGCAGGAAAACTTCAGGAACACTTGGGAAGGACAGAGGCTGAGAGCAAGGGTCAGTGCTTTCCTCTTGGAGATGACACGAGTATCCACAGAAACTACTATCAGCAGTGAGATTTTTGGCTTTGGCCTCATCTGCCCTGTGAAAGAAAACCTTGGTTAGCCTTTGCTTGGCCTACACCTTAGAAAGTCAGTCTCCAGGAAGAGCTATCTTTTCTATCTTCCCACTCAAGGCTCTTAATTGGAAATTATATTATTAAATAAGTGAAGAAAGAAGTTTATTTTCCATATTGGGTGAGACTCATTCATCTATGCACAGAGCATGCCCTTTCTTGACTGTCAGGCAGAAATCGGAGTTTACATTTTAACTTCTATGTTATGTTGAATGTTTGCCATATAAGAAACAACTCTTCAGTGAGGTTCTTTTGAAGGCTCTCACTCTAGCATCTTGATCAAAATGCTAAGTGTACTTAAGGCTTTAATATTACACTTCATCTGGGGATAGTGGGAGCCTAAGAATAGAAAGTCTATCAGTGACCAGGTATCTTGTCTGTTTTAGTTATTAAGTGGTTACTTAACCAGAGATGGTTTAGGATAAGTCAGTTTTCTACTACCAGAGGCATAACTATTGCTTTTTTGTTGTTGTTCTTAAAACACCACATTTTTTTTCTATCAACATGTGCCTACCCAAAGACTTTTCTGAATTGAGCATGCCTCAACAAAATGGCAGTCTAAACTTAAATATGTGACCCAGAGTCATTTTTTGTAGTTTTAAATAGTAGCATAATTTCTTTACTAGCTTTTGAAACTTCAGTGTATCTAGACAAGGAAACGCTCCTGCTTTCCACCAGAAGGAAGAGGAGTTTGTATCTCATTCTCCACCCTTCACTGAGCACTGATCATTAAGATAAAGTCTCTTGGGGAGAAAAATAAATCTTGGTTGGCCAACCCCTTGGTTATTGAATTATATATTCTCTTTTTAAAAGATCAATGGACTTCTCCATGGGTTGTTTCCATTTGGGGAATGAAATAATAAGGTTTTGGAATCTCCACACTCTGGTCTCTGACTGTGAGTCTCTGAACTGTGGGCACTTGGAGTATCTATCTCGGAGGGGATCCTGATAAACAGTTCCACTGCCACTTGAAAAGCCCAGCAGGACATTTCTCCTGGGGCTCTTGTGGCAAGCAAGAAATTGCTACAAGGGATATGGAATACATTCCCTGATTACTCAGGTCTTACTTGGGTCCTGAGGCCTGTCTCTGTTTTGTCCCAGTTTCCTGCCTATTTTCCCACTCCATTCATCTATCAGGCTGTGCTCCTATTGCCTGTGAGCTTCAATGGGACAAATAGCCACTCATGCCAGCTGTGTAGTTTACTTCTTGTGTTGTTTCAGCTTAAAGTCTAGGACTCAAGGAATGATAATGAGATGATGATTAAATCAGCTCTAAATTTTTGAAAGGATACTGGAGAAAAAGTTTATTATAGTTCCCACATTATTTTCTATAAATCGAGGATATTAAGGCATGTTTCTCAACATGGCGTCCTGTAGCTGTAAGCCCTTTCATTGTTGAGTTTGGGTATGGGCAATAGAAAAGGGGACAAGAGAAATGATGGAAGGCAAGGAACAATAGAAAGAAGTTGCTATAGCCTGATTGCTTATGCTTCTTTGAATATCTACTTCCATTTCTCTTAACCCAAAATATCCTCAGTGATATTGAGCTATCAGCTTAGCAAATACTTTTCCAATCAGTTGTATTCCAAGGGCAGCACCAACGTAATCACAGAGATATGGACTTAATAGGAGACAGAGTACTCATGAGATCCCACCAAAATGCCACCAATAACTACACCAAGGACTATCGTGAGGATAACAGTAAGATTATGGTTTGGCTTCCGTAAAGTGATAGTGGGTTTTCCATGACAAATTTAGGAACCAAACCTTTCTGCCTACTTGATGTCGTACACACACACACACACACACACACACACACACACACACACACACATACACACACTAACTCACTCACTCACTCGTTTTTTCAGAAGCATATCTTGCCAGCAGCTCCTGTAGCAGAGCCACACTGTTCAGTCAGTCCTTGAAATCTATAGTGGATGTTTTAGTCAACCTTCACGCACTTCTTTTTATTGAAAGTATGGTGACTAGGAACCCTAATACCTGTACAACTGTGGATCTTGCTCTTAAAACAGAACAAAGCACTACCTGGGCCAAGAATTGCAGAAGTATCTAAAATTAATACGTGTGTAGGAGACCAGGCAAAGAGGAGTGGTAGGCTGTGATGTTGACCTCCTGCTTCCTTTGGCATTGGACTAACCAAATGCCATCTTGACTTTCCTCCCAATTCTCTACCTTAGAGAAAACCTGCAGTTTCATTTTCTTTGCAAATGAACTGTTTTTCAGTGCTGTTTTTATTCCGCCTGCTTAGTTTGTACATGCAAATATAGGTTTCTTTTCCTGCTTGTTTAGAGGTTTACCATGGATTTGTGGTTTGGGAGATGACAAAGGGCATGTTTGACTTGTAATCGAGCTCAAGAATGGAGAGGTCCAGTGCATGTAACATGATCGGAGATTCGCACAGACTGACTTCCATGCCTCCAAGTGGGCCCCGCATTCCCGAACTGCACAGATTCCTGCCTGTTGAACGGCCAAGCACTGTCCTTACGGAAGTACAACTATACTAACTGGTATTGCATCCAGTGATTTCCAAAGTGCTGATGCTCGGAAATCCTTCATCCTGCACTTCCTTCTCCAGCTAGCTGTTTGCTATAGGGAGAGATTCATGTTCCTAGCCAGCTGGGGGAACCTGCTTCCCAGGTTTGCCTTTCTCCCCATATTCTCTCTCCTTTCCCTCCCCTCACATAACTAATGTTTCTGGCCTGGATGTTATCATGTGTATCCTGATAACAGAATACCATGAATTTTCATTCTCAGCTTTGAGATGTTTAAGAGGCTTTCCTGCTTCCCATCCCACCCAGATCCTGGGATTTCTCACTTGCTGATCCTCGATCAGTTTGAGGCAGGAAAGCACACAGAAGCCACATACCAGTTTGTATAGTCGTACCCTTTGGAACTGCCTACTACTGAACCGGTAGAGTTTGCTGGGGGTGCTCACTGGCTGCTTGACACCACACAAAGCCAATTAACCTGCATGCCGAAAAGAAAAAAAGAAAAAGAAAAAATTAACCCTTAGAGTACTGCTTCAACATTTTGGTTTAACAGACTTGAACTTTACCAGTGGGCAATGCTCCCTTCCCCAGATCAGAGTGCCGCGCAGCAAGTCCGCTCTTAGTGCAGCCAGTACATTCACCAGGATCCTCTCCACCACAGCTTTATTGAGATGCTCCTGGGCCTTTTGTTAATCCACTGTTGACTTTTACAAGATCCAAAACACAGCCACTGTGTTTCATGGAAAATGGGCTCCACTACCAACGCGCTGGAGGGCACGAGGGGGCTGATTGTTAGCCTTCTTGTATGTCCTCTCAAGGAAAGAAGTCAGTTCTTTAAGGGTTAATATGAAATCAAGGAATTTGGTGGTCTCTCCTGCTTGTCCTTCCTCCAAGGTGTCTGCATGATACTCTTTAGATTTTTAGTTCAACTGTTGAATGATAATTTAAAAAAAAAATGTATATGAAATTACAAAAAAAAAACAACAACTCCCCAAAGCAAATGAAGGAACAAAACACGGAATGATTGAATGGAAAGCCCCTGGCAATGCTTGCTTGATTATCCCAGGGGGGTAGAAAGACCAAATGTTTTATTTGATGAACGTTCATTTTGTCCTCTACCCTGTACACCACCTCTTCTTAGCGTTGTGAAGATGTAATGATGCTTTTCATTTACTTCTTGCTTTTTCTTTTTCCTGTCTAATAGCCCAATAGAATCCTGCCAGAATTTCTACAAAGATTTCACATTACAGATCGACATGGCTTTCAACGTGTTCTTCCTTCTCTACTTTGGCCTGCGGGTAAGTTTGGCAATATGGCTCAGTCCTGCAGTGAGATATTCCCAGGCTTATTCCCCGGGATCGCCCCCAGCCACATGTGCTCTTTTGGGCAAGGTGAAGCCCAGTGTTCCTGTGATAAACAACGCCCCTGCTCTCTGATTTCCAGACAATGAGGGATCCCTACCCTTAGCTCTGTTTTCTGGAATACTTTGTTAATTTTATTTCAAAAGGGAGAAACAGGGATTGAAAGTGATGATCTCTACTGGCCCACTGTTCAAGCATGAATATTGTTCCCTTCAAAACAAAGAAACAAGAAAACTTTTCAGGACTGGGGCTGTAACTTAGAGACTGAGGGCTTGCCCAGCCTGAGCTAGACTCTTCAGCTCTTAAAGTTCAGTGCAGCAGTGCTCACTCGGCTGGGGAGCAATTGGAAAGATGAACCAATAAGACAGACAGATGGACAGATGGAATTTTGGGCTTGGAGGATGTATTCTAAACTCTGTTTATAAGAGGTGTTATACAACATCTGAATTACAGAGATGTGTGTGAGTTAATGTACATACATGTGCTTTACTTACAAATTTTTTGGTTACATTAGAGAATCCAAAGAAGATAAGGTTACTGAACCATCCCTCTAAGGGTATTAGAAACTACAGAAAAATATGTTGCCTGATCCTTTTCCAATGCTAACATAGCATATAGTCACTCTACAAAAGGCTACATAGCCAACAAAATAAACGTGTTATTCAAGTATGAGAAGAACATAATAGCTCTTCTAAACCTCCCCAGAAATCCTAAATTTACTGTTTGGTAAAAGAATAAACATTGAATGCTGGCACTGTGCCTCTCATTTTTTCCCTTTATTTCTTCTTTCCCCCAGTTCATTGCAGCCAATGATAAGCTGTGGTTCTGGCTGGAAGTGAACTCTGTAGTAGATTTCTTCACGGTCCCTCCCGTGTTTGTGTCTGTATACTTAAACAGAAGTTGGCTTGGTAAGTCGATCCTTTTTGCTTTTACTGGTTCCTGAGCTCTGGTTGAAATAAAGAGTCTAGGGTGGGTTGGAGGCTGGGCTATTCCTGTACAGAGAAGTTTTATGCATTAATGCGAGCAGTTCTCATCTACTTTTTGAAGTTGATGGTGACACCTCTGTTTGAGGTACTTGTCCAGAGGGACTTGCGCAAATGGTGCTTCAGGTAATGTAGTTTTTTCATTGTTGAAACCCAGTGGTCATCACTGTCACAGCCAGGACATCTGTGTACATGGTCCTGTCATTTCTCATTGAGGAGTGTGGAGCCATAACTCGTTAAAGCTGCACATAGGAACAAGTCCAACTTGCCAAGTGGCTGGTTCAGGTGTCCCAAAAGTCTTGCTGTCAGGGTTAGTTTCTATCTGCTGTCTAGTTTTACGAAGAGCGGGTCCTGCTTGGCCTATTTATAGTTACAGATTCCTTTGTGAGGCAGGATAAGGAGAAGCTTCTCAAGTTTCCTCTCAGATGACAAGAGGCTGAAATTCGTTCCTGTGTAGAGAGTTTTTTCTGATGCTATGCTCAGCAGGTCACTTCCTGTATCTATTCAAGACATCACTTCCTGTCTTTGCTCTGAGGTCACTTCCTGTATCTGCTCAAGAGGTCAGTTCATATCTATGTTCAGAGGTTACTTCCTGTATCTTCTCAAAAGGTGACATCTTTGTCAAGTGGGAAAAGTAACTTGCTCAGTGGATGGTCATGGCAGTCAAGGACTAGAAGTAACAGTTTACAAAGTTGTCTCTGTTTAATTTTTTTCCATAAGGTCAAAGTGTTTCCACTGCCATGGGGTCTACTAGGGAAGAAAGGAGGACATTTTTGGATTTCCTTTTGTTTTTACTTTGAGGACTTGTTTGGCTTAATTTTTTCAAGGTAACATGTATATATTGTGATTAATGAAAATACTCAAAAGATATACCAAGAAAATATTAATCATTTTCATCTGTCTCAGACCTCTGCTGAGATGCTTGGTGTTAATAGACTTCCACATCTTTCTTACATGCTTATTCTACCCCGAACAAACACACATATTCATACACATAAAACACTGTGATAAAGGTATAAGAAACTATTAAATAATCACATTGTACTGCAGTTCGGTGCTTCTTACTGATACATGATAGACATCCCTTCAGCTCTACTATAAATTCATTTAATAAAATTTTATAACAGTTGTGTAAAATTCCATCCTTTGTGTCACAGTACACCCAGCCATCATCCTCATGATGGACCAGCTAATATAGTTGTATAACTCTTATTTCTACAGATAATTCCACATTCCTGGAAAAAGAATTGCTGAGGCAATGAATATATATATTTTATTTTGTAGATATTGCTTGATAACATTCCAAAACTGTTGCATCAAGATATGCTTCCACATAACAGGATGCCTGGATGTTGTTGCTAGCAGTGTGAATTTATTACATACCTAATGTCAAATATTTTTAAAGTAAGCATCTTTCATAATAGTGTCTGTGGTAATCACATATATACACAGACATATATGTCTGTACGTACATGTGTGTGTCTCTGTATCCTTATAAGGGTTTTTAAAAATTAGTTTTCTCAGTAGAAGTGTATTCTCTTGCTTAATGGAAAAGTTCTCTTGTTCTATCTGAGATATGCTTGCTTAGATGGGATTTGGTTTTCCAGCCAGAATGGTGAGACCCTTAAAGCTACGTGCAACTCAGGAGCATGCTGAGAGGAAGCTACGTGGAGCTGTGCCCCAGCTTCATCAGTCTATCAGTTAGCTACTTTTGAGACATGGGAAACTCAGTTTTCTTCATGTAACCTGTTTTTTCCCTCTATAAGATAAACATTGGGCTAAATGGCCCCTCAGGCTCTCTCAGCTCAGAAAGTCTTTACGACTTGAGTCAGTAATGAGAAGTTTCAGAACGACAACTTCATGATATTTTTCTTGTTGAACTCAGTTCGTGCCAAATTTGTGCTCGATCACCAAAAAGTTCGAGAACTGAACATATTTTTCCCACAAAAAATAATGGAAATTCAAATAATTGGTTCTGAGGCCCCAAAGTTGTAAATTCATTTTTCCAGGACTTTTAATAAGTTTTGCAATGATTTCTTTCTTTCACTCAATCTTGGTTCTCACAGTTTTCCTCCTGGCTTTACTGCTGGGATCACTAACTTCTTGTGGAGCCATGGTTCTGTTATTTTACTCAAATAAAGTACAAAAAAAGCACAAAGACAAATGTTTGAATGCACGAACACAAGCACCACATACTGTCTGTGTGAGGGCGGCACTTAGACCCAAGCATCACCCCTTTGCGTCCATGGTGAGACACGACATGTGACACTCTTTCAGCAGTACAGGTTTTTTCTTTTTTTTGTTTTTTCTCCGGTACCGGGAACCGAACTCACGACCTTGCACTTGCCAGGCAGGCGCTTTTGCCGCTGAGCTAAATCCCCAGCCCCCTGTACAGGTTTTTTCAAGTTGGATTTTGGTTTGACTACCCAGCAGAGTTACAAACATTGCACAGATTTTTTTTTTCAAACTTTGCTGTTCAAGTAGTGGAAAGGAAGCTTGGAATCATGGGACTACCAAGGTATTACCGTAGATTGCTGGGGAGGAAGTGGAAGTTAGTGGCATGAACTTAGTGAAAATCATAGATAAACTCTTAAGTAAGGGTCTTCCTAAAACAAACTGTTGCTCAGAGTACAAACACATACCCATGTACACACGTGTTTACATATATACATCTCCACCTGCCCCCCAAACTCCAAATGGATGGGGAAGGGAGAGGAGAGGAAGGCATCTTCCTTCCTTTCCTGGCTGTGCTTCAATTCCTCTGGGCACTTGGACAACCACGCTGCTTATTTCTGGACCCTCACTCAGTTTTCCTATTTGAACAGTGGGGATTTGGGACTAAATCACCCCCCATTCTGCTTACTTCATGAATTTGAATTTTATGGTGTGTGTCCATTCTCTCCTGGCCCCCTGGGCCCTGGATGATCGTAGCAGCCCCTTCATGACTATGGTGGAGACTGCGACAAGCAGATCCTACCACAGTTAAAAGTGTGCAGCTGAGCTTCCTTGTTGCAGCAGTGTTCCCTAAACTATCATGGTATCAGGGGTACTTGGATACTTTTGAATCTATAGCCTCTATGTGGATGACTTAATCATGATGGTTGGAGGTGTGTTCTGATCTACTGACAAGATCTATTGGAGTCAACAGAAGAAGGGGAATCTTTTCTTTCCTTTTTTTTCCCCTTCCCTTCCCTTCCCTTCCCTTCCCTTCCCTTCCCTTCCCTTCCCTTCCCTTC